GACTTTAGAATTGAGATGAAGTACTACTGCAGTGAAAATCTGACCTGACAGATTTTGTTTAGTGTTTTCTTCCAAGAAAAATTGGTATTTTGCCTTTCAAAAATAGCCTTTCTTTAGCCTTCCAAGAACATTGTTCTTCAGCCTTTCAAGTTTATAAATACAAAAGCTGTTTCCCTGTGAAAGGCTGTAGCCTGGGAATATCTGATGCATTTCTTTGACTGTTTTTTCTCAGTATCAGTCCTTGCTGATTGATTTATGAATATTCTATATGTTCTTAATTAGCAGAGAGTGAGGAAGAGGATGACAATGAAATGGAAGTTGAAGATCAAGATAGTAAAGAAGCTGAGAAGCGAAACGTCATTAATTTTGATACCAGTTTGCCAACATCACATATGGTATGTATTTTGTATATAGTCCATTAAATACAACTTGAAGAGGATTTGATTGGTTTTGTGTAATTCTATTGTAATATCCTCAAGATGAAGACCTAGTTTTATTTTATCCTTGTAAATCACCAAAACCTCTTATACTATTCTTGTTTCCTTCCTTACTGTTCTCAGTATTTAGGTTCTGATATGGAAGAGTTTCATGGCAGGACAGTGCATGATGATGACAGCTGTCAGGTGATTCCAGTGCTGCCCCATGTGATGGTGATGTTGATTCCTGGACAGACGTTACCTCTTCAGCTTTTTCACCCTCAAGAGGTTAGCATGGTGCGGAATTTAATTCAGAAAGACAGAACATTTGCTGTTCTTGCATACAGGTAAAATACACGAGTGGGTTTACTGATGCTGTGTAGCATGTATTTTTAGTACAATTTCTTTGGATGCTAAATGAAAAGCAGATGGTTGCATCAGTTCCATGGTGAATAATAGAAGCTGTGTTTTGAAATTGACAAAACTCGTCTTCCAGTTTGTAACAAAAACAATTTTCCAGTTTTCACGTTATTCTGCTTGAAGTATCATGTGCTTGTGTAGAGAAACAGTAAGAGTTTATTTGCTTTCCATGTTCAGTTTCAGTAACTCCTTGAATGTGCTGCTCCATCTTGCTTGTTGATTAAGTCTTGATCTGAAATGTAAAAATCAGATTCTTGTTTTGAGAACTGCATTGTTGTAAAGGTGTATTTGCTTGTTTTGAATGTAAATTAACAAGTCCAGACAGGAGTTTCATGACACAGTTGAGGGACATGAGTTGGTAGAAAAGTGGAAAAGATAAAGGGTATTCTGTGCCAAAAGAAGTAGGGAATGTTTCTCCCTCTCCCCGCCCTGCAATTTACTATGGTTTAGTTATGTAGGAGGTGGGAACGGTTATTTTTAAAGTCAATCTAAAGAATTTTGGTACTTCCAGTATCTGTATTTGAAATGCAGGTACATTGGCAATCCCTGTGTTCCCAGTATTTCACCTCTAGACCCTAAAATAAAACCAAGCCAACTGGTAAACGCTCCCCTCCAACCAAATAAAATATTAGAAGTTGTTTTTGAAATTAAAAACTAATGATTGTATTTAGTTGAAGTTATTTCACCAGATTTACTTTTTTGGTAAGACTAATTGTGTACAGTCAGTGCAGGTATACTAACTGAAATCTAAGTGAACAGTGCTGTTTGGAGGGTAGGTAACCTTCTTAATTCTGTTACTTCTAGTAATGTACCTGAAAGAGAAGCTCATTTTGGAACCACAGCAGAAATATATGCCTACAGAGAAGAGCAGGAATATGGAATTGAGACAGTCAAAGTGAAAGCAATAGGAAGACAAAGGTTCAAGGTGCTTGAAATAAGAACCCAGTCGGATGGGTAAGACAATTACATATTTAATTCTACATACTGCAAATCTTGTTTCACCAAAACATTTACATTTTACTGCAGGTGCATCTGTGCTTCCAGTAAGGCAGTTGACTAATTGCTATAGGTATTAAATTAATCAGTAGCTTCTCTGCTTATTAAGGAGTTCTGACATTTCCTGTTCCAAGACTCATGTTTATGTCATTGTTAAATTTTGCTATAAAATCCTCCAAAGCATATGTACCTGCAATTTGATTTGGTGCATGTGAGAATATACCTGTCAGAATGACTTTATTTCTGGAAATTATGTCAGGAAAAAGATGGTGATTGGCCAGCATTATAAGTTCTAAAGCTTTATTCCAAAATCTCTCACATCCCTTTTCCAAACCAGATGTGAAATGAGAGGATATGATATCAAGTGTGTGCTTTCTGCTGTCTTGTGGAAAGCGTCCCTGATAGCGACCAGATTCTGTTCCTTTGAAAAACTGTAACTTTCATTTTCTGAAAGGAGACCTTTCTAGAGGTGGTCTGCATTTAACGTGTTCCACTTCTGACCTTTGTATGTAATTGCAGCTTTGAAAGGCTGCAGGCAAGGGTCTGACACAACAGTTAATAACATGCTTGTCTATTTTTATTCTTTGAGTGATCTTTAACTCCTGAGCCTTGACAGCATGCAGAAGGATTCAGCTGTATGATTTAGATATGGAGGGGACAGTAGCTGTGCCCACAGGGGTGGTGGTTTTCATAAGATGTTTCCCCTGAAAGGGGAAGACAAAAGTCTGGTAATAATAGTGGAGAAATAAATTGCTCCTCTTATTTTTTTCCTTCCATAAAAAGCACACGTTCCATAAAAGCACACTGAAATGTGCAGATAAATATTTGAATACGAAAATAGGTTCTTGATTTTTGCTGACTACAATCAGCCCATTGCTTTCAGTTTCTCAAATACTAAATCTTGTTTATTTCAACTGTTGTCATAGTTTAGTACATCCTTAACTTCAGCAGGTCTTACCTCTTCCTTTCCGATTGTTCACTGATTCTTCACTGCTAGAAATATGCCACTTCTACTGTTACTGGTTGACAGTTTTCATGTGCTTGTCAAACACACTCAAATCAGCTGTGATAGAGTTCTCTTCTGTATTGCAGTTCTGTTGTTTTCCATATTCCAGTATGATACCTGTGATATTTAAAGCTCCTCTTCTAGCCAGTTTTTATCATATTAGGTAATTTATACCTTTGTCCATTTATGAAGTGACTAAGATCTTCAGCATTTAGTGAAGAGTATGTTGAGTCTTCTGTCATTTTCATGTTCTTCTTGACATTATCCTTTGCACTATGAATTGCATCATGATCTTCTGCCAGTGTCACTGTCCAGAGATACATGCTCCAGACACTGGTCCTGCAAGCATGTGACTTTTTTTTAGCACAATTGCTAGAGGTTTTGTAATCTTTTCTGCAGGGCCTCTAACACCTTACTCCAAATCTGTAAATCTGCAGCTCATCATCTCACTTCTGCTATTTCTTGGTGTGGAGGCATTGCTTAGTGGCATAGTGCTTTTATGCAGGGGGGGTTGGAACTAGATGATCTTAAGGTCCTTTCCAAGCCTAACCGTTCTATGATTCTGTAGGAACAGCCCAAACTCAGTGGTTTTGTATGCTTCTATGACCTGAAGCTGTAGAAATGAAGAATAGCTACTTGCTATTTCTCACTGTGTAACATTTGCTTACAAATAACATCCTCCAAATTTTACATCTTAGAAAAAACATTTCTTGAACACAAGGTGGCAGTACTTGGACGACTACAGTTAACACCATCGTTAGTGAGAATTCAGTATCCAGAACCAGCTAAGATGTGCAGTGATGTTGTTGTGCTGTTAAAGGATTTTATTATGATGATTTTATATCCACTGACTAGCAGAGTTCACTTTTACACGGCATGTTCACAATGTTCATTCAAAAATATGAATTTTTAAATGAATGAAATAAAGAGTATGAGATTAATTTTAGGCTGAGAGCTCAGTTGTTCAGCCTGGAGAAAAGAAGGCTGCAGGAAAACCTTAGAGCAGTTCCCAGTGCCTAAAGGGGCTGACAAGAAAGCTTGGAGAAGGACTTTCAGATAAAAATCCTTTCTCATAAAGAAGGGAAAATACTGAACTTCTTAGCAAGGAGAAAATTTCTGTAGTTCTTGGTGTTCCCAATTACTAAGTGCTTATGATAAAACATCATTTTAAAGTCTACAGTAAGTTAACAGAGTTCACTGTAGTCCCTGTAAGTAAAACAGGATATTTGTAATAATGTGCATCTCAGCATTTCAGGGTTTCTGATGCATAATACTGTTAAAATATGAAGTCCTTCCTGCTGAACAGTATTTTTACGAGCCACATAACTGTTGCTGAACTCTTTGTGGAATAGGTGACCTGGCTGATGCTAGGATGTTAAAAGATGATCAGAGTCTATATCCTATTTCTGCTGATTTTGAACCCTAGCTAAGCACATAAGCTTTTGTGGTTTGAAGATAGCAAACTGCATTTCAGCTAAACTTCCTTTCTGAGGATTTGATATGTAGTTGCTGACTGTTAGTTTATACCAAAAGTAACTTGAGGAGACAAAACTCTAAATACACAACGCTGAGATGGTAAAATATTCTGCTGGGTTGCCACTGCCAATCTGTCTTTAATCTGTCCACCACAATCAACGACAGGTATCTAGTGCTTCTGTCTTCAATTTATGTAGACCAAAGTCCAGTCAGCACAGTGGCTTTAATAATTTAGCCAAGGGTGTGAGATTATTTGTGTTCTGGAAGAGTATGTGTTTGGTTTGCTACAGATGTGCTGAATGTTCCTTAAGGTAATTTGGTTTACATTAGCATGACTTTAAAAATCTGATTAAATGAATTGCTGCTTAAATTCTATAGTGCTACATAATGATTAATCTATTACACAAGCCTATGGTTTTATAAGCAGTAAAATTCATTTTTTTTCAATTCTTGTATAAGTGTGTATATCTTGTCTCTTTTCTTTTATCAGAATCCAGCAGGCTAAAGTACAAATACTTCCTGAGCGAGTGCTGCCTTCAACAATGGCAGCAGTACAGCTGCAGTCTCTCAGCCGATGCCATATATTTCCATCTTCGAAACCTACATCATGGCAGGACCAAGCTATACAGCAGTGGTGGCAGAAATACCAAAAGGTTAGAATCTGGTTGTGGGGATCTTGATTTGCTGGTTTGATGGTATTTTGACAAGCAGTATGAAAGTCCATCTGTTCATCTTTCGAGGAGGTTGCACAACTGGGATGCTAGATGCCAACCTCCTGCTTTTGTTGCGTATTGTGTGATTGTTTATCAGCCATCCATAGTGGGGAAATACGTGTTTTGTATTTTGAGCTCTCTCTGGTTTTAATTAAAGTATCATTAGATTAATATTATCACATAATCATGTAATACTACAATATTTTTTTATGTAATCAAACACCTCAGAGTTCCAGTTGGTAAAACTTGTAGATAATGAAGTGTTGGTGGAAAAAACACTTAAGTTTGTAGGATTTAATTTTTAGGCAGGTTAAAGAAGCATCTTAACTTGTACAGACTTTGCTTGGACAATAAAAGTACTGGTAATCAGTGTTAACAGTGCCAGTGCTCTTGCTTTGTACTTGTCGTCATAATGGTTTGGATTTGAAGTAAAAAGGCTTTCATAACTTCTTCTGTTAATTGTTTGATTTGGGTAGAAGAGGTGTTTAAAGAGCAGAGGTAGTTTAGAGGTGACTCCTAAATTTCAGTGATGAAACAAAAGACTTGTGATACCTTAGTTGTTTGGAAACAGAATTCCGTTTGCTAATTTTGCTTTAAAACCTCCATCAGTCAAAGGTTTGACTTCTGTACCTGCAGTTACATGTCTGTAGAAAACATGGGTCTGTGTTACAATGACAGACTCAAGGGGTTTTTAATCCTGTAAAATATTCCCACCCGGATGGTTGTTAGCTAACAACTAGGCTGTACTTCCTCGTTTTCAGCATATTTTATGTTGCACTTTCATCTTGTAAATTATCATATACCATACATCTGAAGTTCTTTTGTGCTTAGTCATTACCTTTGTCAGATCACAACACTTCCATACAATCCATTTATCCTGGCCAACTGTATTTCTGAATCTGGTTTTTGATTTATTAGTATTTTTTTTTAACACATTTACCTTATGGAAGAGTTAATATGTAATCCCCCTTATCCCACTTCCCCCTTTTTTGTCTTAACTGAATTTATAAACTTCCTTAAGTCTTCTTGTGGTACTAAATGTGATAAGATAGGAAAGGGTCATAGAAATCTAATTTTTTTCATGAACTGTACATATGCTGACATAGTAGTTATTAGTGGAAGGCGGTGCTTTTACACACAGAGTGGGTGAATTAGCAGTTCCATAGTCTTATTTGTTTTATTTCCTAGTGCTTTTTCAATAAATATGCAGAATTTGCACTTCTTCAGAGAGCTTCCAGAATTTTATTTACTTGACTCTGGTTAAAACAAAAGTAGGAGAGAAATACTCATTATCAAGATGTTGGTATTGTCATCAGGGAATTGCCTTGTACTTTACCATTTTGCTTCACTGGCACAAATTCTGCCTTGCTTGTTTACAGTGTTTCTGTATCGCTGCAGCTGTGGCAGTACTTTGAATCAGGAGGGAATTCACACTAAGATTGTATGGCAGGATTTTCAAGAGTCCTAAGTGGCTGGTGGCAGGCCTAAGCTACAAACTTGTGCGTTGCTCAGGAGAATAATAAGGTGTGATTTGTGCTAGAGACAGCTGTGCTGTTTAAAAGGTGCTAAAAGATGCCTTTATACAAGTGAATGTGCACTTTTACCAGTATACAGCCTTTTCCTTCAGGAGTCTGAAATAAAAATGTACTGTCAAAAGGATAATTTTGCTGGAATAAATTATGTTTCCCCATAAGAAGCACCATGCTAGAGTAGCATCCTAGCATAGATGTACCAGCAAAAGCCGTTAAGGGTAAACCTAGCTCATTCTCAGGCACAGTGCAGGCTTTTCAAAGACCAGCTATCATTAATAGTGGACAGGTCTGCCTGATAAGGTTAATGGGCCAGGAGTTGGCACTGGGGTCAGTAGGAGAGGATGTGGTGAAACAGGTGCTTTTCTAAATACTGAAATTGTGGCTTATGAGTTTATTTATATAACTTTTCATTACTCAACCCACAGTTTCCATCAGTGGTATATAAAAGGAAAGATACCTTGAAGTCTTCTGTGTTAGTAGAGATCTTTGGAACTACCTCCAGAAATTAATATGGAATCCTAGTAACTCCCATTACTGTCAGATGCAGTTAAGGTTTTGTTGTGGTTTAAACCCAGTCATGCAACTCGTTCATTCACTTCCCCTCCTTCTTGCCCTCCCCCTGCTCCCAGAGGGGTGGAGAAGACAATCAAAAAGAATGCAACTCCCACGGGTTGAGATAAGAACAGTTTAGTAACTCAGGTATAACACAAATCACTGCTGCTACTACCAATGATAATAATGATAAATAACAAGGGAAGAGAATACAACACCTCACCACCAGGCAACCGATAACTCGCCCGACCCCACAGACCAAGCACTCACCAATGCCTCCTCCAACCCCGCAGTCTCCCAGCCCTTCCGGCTCACTCCCAGTTACATCCTGGGCAGGACGTGCTGTGGTATGAAATCTCTTTGGTCAGTTTGGGTCAGGTGTCCTGTCTCTGCTTCCTCCCGTCTTCCCATCCTCCCTGGCAGAGCATGAGGCTCACAAAGTCCTTGGCCAAACCAAAACATCCTTGTTATCAGCTCTGTTCCTAGGCTGAAAGTCAAAACACAGCACTGCACCAGCTACCAAGAAGGAGAAAAATGACTGCTACTGCTGAACCCAGGACAGGTTTGGAGCTCAGTTTTTAGTTCAGTGGATTTGAACTCCCTCCCCCGCCCCCCACCCCCCCAAAAAACAAACCCCAACCAAACAAACTATTAATAACAAAGAACTATTGATTCTCAGAGCTCTTGAACAAGTTCATTTATGAGCTAACAGCCCAGAAACACTGTGCTTGGGGAGGGGGGGAGTAATCCCTTTCCAAGACTGGTTCCATCAGATGATACCTGAGATGCAGTACTCCCAGTGTAAGATCATGTTTTATGGACCGAGATGCAGATCCAGAGTAGGGTCATTGTCCTGTTGAACTCTTGTCCTGTCAGTAGAACTGACTGTTCACAATATGTTAGGCTGTACCTCTCTTAACTAATATAATGAGAAACATCAGAAAGTAGAAGTTGCATTTTAAGAATGGTTTCTGCTCCATACAAGAGCTGACCCTGTGTCAGCTGTTACAGAAAATATATTTGCTAATTGGAACATTAACTTGAGTTTCAGTGTTCCGGAATTCTTTCTTCAAAGTACCGTTTATTTGCCGTGGATTTAAGTATTGCCTGTTTTTTCTCATTTGTAAAATAAGGGTAGTTGACCTCCAGGGGAAAATGAAGTTTTAATTTGTAAATATTTACAGTACAGTTTTGGAAGGCACTGTGGTTATGTAGTATACATTGTTTTAGATTTCTTTTAACCTAAGCCTATGCATTTAAATGTATAAAGTCACGGTAGAGAATTAAGTAAGCAAATTACCTTACACTGCTGGAAATCTGGTAGTTAAGGAATGCAGTTATGATCTAGAGTTTCTTGTCTGCAGGATAAGCACAAGCTGAAGACTTTTTAGAAGTTATATTGGTGGCCATGTGTATTTTGTTCCTCCAGATCTGCTCTGTAGTCTTGTATAGATGTTTTTGTACACAATTCAAGTGCACGTTTTAGTCGTGTTCCCAGTGAAGTATGGTACAGGAGCATGGGCCACTTCTATTTTAATTTTAAAACAAAACCATTCAATAAGGAATAATTACGAGGTCTTCAGGGGATATTTTTCACCCCTGTTATTTTTATTTTCCTCCACATTTGTTTCTTACTGAGTGCTCCATTTGGGTCTGAATTTTTCTTCATAGGATGTTGTTAAATAGATATTGTACAATATTTGCTCACTATCTGTGGATAATTATAATAAAGTTGTTTAATAGGTTTCCAGTAGGCTGGTTATAAGCATTGATGTTCAGTAAGCGTTTCTGAAAATGTGATTTCCATTAAAAATAGAGACCAGAGAGTGGAGAGTGATATGAGATTAAGACATCAAGACTGCCCAAGTTTTCTTAACCAGTAATTGTTCTGCTGTGTGGAAGCGTCCTCCAGAACTCCTAACTTGTGTGGTGGTATTTATAGTTATGTTTTTAACCGATTAGATTTCTATTTAAAAAATATCATCATATATCCTTTGCATTTATATATGTCAGCTTAAAATACCCGATACATTTGTTGACGTCATCTACCTGGACTTGTGCAAAGCGTTCGACACTGTCCCCCACAACATCCTTGTGTCTAAATTGGAGAGACATCAGTTTGATGGATGGACCACTCGGTGGATAAAGAACTGGCTGGATGGCCGCACACAAAGAGTTGTGGTCAATGGCTCAATGTCGGGCTGGAGACCAGTAACGAGTGGTGTCCCTCAGGGATCGGTGTTGGGACCGGTCTTGTTCAACATCTTTGTCGCTGACATGGACAGTGGGATTGAGTGCGCCCTCAGCAGGTTTGCCGATGACACCAAGCTGTGTGGTTCGGTTGATACCCTGGAGGGAAGGAATGCCATCCAGAGGGACCTCGACACACTTGTGAGGTGGGCTGATGCCAACCTCATGATGTTTAGCCATGCCAAGTGCAAGGTCCTACACCTGGGTGGGAGCAATCCCAGGCACAGCTACAGGCTGGGCAGAGAAGAGATTCAGAGCAGCCCTGTGGAGAAGGACTTGGGGGTGTTGGTCAATGAGAAAATGAACATGAGCCACAGTATGCACTCGCAGCCCAGAAAGCCAACCGTATCCTGGGCTGCATCAAAAGCAGCGTGACCAGCAGGTCGAAGGAGGTGATCCTGCCCCTCTACTCTGCTCTCGTGAGACCTCACGTGGAGTATTGTGTGCAGTTCTGGTGTCCTCAACATAAAAAGGACATGGAACTGTTGGAACAAGTCCAGAGGAGGCCACGAGGATGATCAGGGGACTGGAGCACCTCCCATATGAAGACAGGCTGAGAAAGTTGGGGCTGTTCAGCCTGGAGAAGAGAAGGCTACGTGGAGACCTCATAGCAGCCTTCCAGTATCTGAAGGGGGCCTATAGGGATGCTGGGGAGGGACTCTTCATTAGGGACTGTAGTGACAGGACAAGGGTTCAAACTTAAACATGGGAAGTTTAGATTGGGTATAAGGAAGAAATTCTTTACTGTAAGGGTGGTGAGGCACTGGAACGGGTTGCCCAGGGAAGTTCTGAATTCTCCATCCCTGGCAGTGTTCAAGGCCAGGTTAGACAAAGCCTTGGGTGAGATGGTTTAGTGTGAGGTGTCCCTGCCCATGGCAGGGGGGTTGGAACTGGATGATCATAAAGTCCTTTCCAACCCTAACTATTCTATGATTCTATGATACGGCCTGTTAATCTCCTTATTTTATTTTATTTACTTATGCATTTGACTGATTTGATATAAATAGTTTAATCGCTCCCATGTGGTGGTTTGCTGTGGTTGCTGAAGTACCAGCCGTTGGTGGAAACTAAGGAACAGATGCACTATCTAATAGTACTTGAATTTTCTGAACTGTCTAAATTTTAGATAGATGCTCTTTTGAAAGGCATAATTTCTTATTACTAGACATTAGGAATACTTGTAATGCTGAGACAGGTTTTCTGGGGAAATCCATATATTGTCATTCTTGCCCAGAAGCTTTAGCTCTCAATGCATTTGAAATGTGGTTTGGAAGCTTCACATTGAAGTACTGGTCTTGATGGTGATAATTTACAGTATCTTTAAATAATCAGCTATCCCTCCTCTGGTTTATTATTTGAGCAAGAACTGTCCCTAACATCTGCTAATCTGAAAGAATAAATATTTGTGCTTTTGATTTTAGAGGAAGTTCCGCTGTGCGAGTTTGACATCTTGGCCTCCCTGGCTCTACTCTCTATATGATGCTGTAAGTTCACCCTATGTATATGTAGGTATATATATGTATACCAAATAATCTACTATTAGTTTTGTATGTTTGAATATGTTATTATTGGATAATATAAAAGCCTTAATTTTGTTGGGTTATAAGTTACATTTTAAAGAAATGTACAGTTTTCAGTTTGTTGTGAAAGGAGCAGGAACAGCTACTCTTGTGTACTGTTCCCTTGTGCTAGAGCATGTGTCTAGGGTGGATGACAGAGGTTCAGGTTCCTGCTGTATTGTCTGAGTCAGTCGTCTGTCCCTCATGTTCCAGGTAAGTGTTCTAACCACCAGGGTGCTGAATAGTCTTAGGTCTGTCTTTCCTATTGAAGTTGCTTTACTCCTTAAAAAGTACATATTTCTTTATATACACATATATATATAAGTATATTAGTACACGAGGTACTTGGTGTAAGAGAGGCAGAAGTAGGGAGGAGGCTAGCCCCTCATCTTGTTTATACAGTCTAGAATTTGAGTGGTTGGCTCCTTGTCTCAAATGAGACGTATAACTGTCATGGGCCATTGGTTCATTTTGTCCTCTTTCCCATCCTAGTTTGCTCTTAGTTTAAAACATGTAGATACAAAATGAGCGTGTCATTATTGTAAGTGTTAACAGCTAATGTCCACTTAGGGAAAATAGCTTACTCTACATTTTGCTTCCTTTTTTTTTTTTTTTTTCCTAAGAAAACAGAAATATCTATGTATTTAAATTAGGCTTTTCTTCTAACAAAAGGAAACCTTGATGGAAAGAGTCAAGAGGCAGCTACATGAATGGGATGAAAATCTTAAAGATGAATCTCTTCCAACAAACCCAATAGGTATGATGTTGTTGAGCTGATGAACTCATATCTGGGGTTTGGGTGTTCAGTTCCTAAGAAAACAAGGCTTAGATAATTACCTTCTGTTGTTAGTCCACCCCTCACTTCCACTTTCCAGTGAATTTTGATAGTTGACTTTGACAGAAGGATGATAGAGATTTTAAGGACATGAGCATCCTCCAACTGTGCCACAACATGTTCAGTATAGGAAGTATAACTCTTATTGTGCTCCATGGTGGGAGGAATGTGGTATGTTTCATAAAGCCAAAAGCATACTAGCTTTTTTAAATTATTATTACATAAGTCTAAGTGTTAGTATGTAGAATCTCTTTGTTCTTACTTCTTGTTACCTCTTATGTAACATGGGGGAAAATAGCACCAGTAACCTAATCACAAAAAAGTTGGGTTCCACCTTTTGCGTGCTGCGTTGGGGTTATGCCATAGTGAGCAGGTCTTTTCTCTCTACAGGTCTCTAGGATCTAGTAAAATTTCAAAATCACAGATTTCAGTTGAAGTCTTCCTAAGGGGAAAAGCATTCTCTTCTGTGTAGGCTCTCAAATGCTTAATGAAAGGCAGCCTTCAGTTAAAGTCAGATAAGAACCAAATACAGGAAGTGCAAGCATAAAGAAAAAGATTGGTGTATGGAAATCTCAGTAATTCACTGCCAAAGTGGAAGTCTGTATCAGTGTTGTCTGGGGTCTGTTCTGGTTTTAGTATACATTACCTTACCAGCATGGCTCAGTCTCCATCAGTGGTATCTGGATTGGACAGATACCATAGAAGAGGATTTGTCTGTGCATGATCCAGCCTTTTGGGCAAAAGGATGTACTGAGATGACCTCTAAAAGTCTATTACAAACATAAGTTTTAGCACTCTGTCTGTAACCGAGCAGAAGTAGTAGGGTTTATTGATTTATTTCTCTCTCTAATTCTAACAGGCCTGCTATTTTCTCATTTCTAGATTTTTCTTACAGAGTTGCTGCTTGCCTGCCGATTGATGATGCATTGCGTATACAGTTGCTTAAAATAGGTAGTGCTGTTCAGCGA